TGGAATGCACCCGTAACTATGTTGAAATAGGCCACACCTCAACCAAAATGCTAACCTAAAAAAAAGCAAACAGAAAGCACCTACTCCTTCCTTTCTCCAGATTCACTGCGTGATTAAGCACGAGTGTTTGCATCTGTGCGACCACAACTTGGGCGCGTGAGACGATACACGTCCCCGAACAATGACTGCCTTCCATTTAGAAAAATTCCACATCCACCTAAAACACATTTTTTTAAATCACTTCTGATTTCTCAGCTGTTCCCTCAGCACTAAAATCCAGCTATTTCTGGGGTGGAAGCACAAAGCCATTTAACATTTCTTACAGAAACAAATGGAGTTCCCCTGCCCCACCCTCTCCCCCAATTCCAGTTTCCCTCCTTCCTCTCCCATCCTGCACATCTGGCCAAGGAGGGAAGGAGCTCGGGCTCCAGATTCTATTAAGTGAACCCCTCCCAGAGTCTTATTTGAAAAAAGCATTTGCTTCTCTCTCTCTCTCTCTCTCTCTCTCTCTCTCTCTCTCTCTAACGGTTTTCTTTAAACAAAACCCACCTCTCTTTCCCAACCTGTGGGGAGAAAAAAACACTTCAATTCAAAAAGAAGTGAATGAACAAGCAAGAAAGGCAGTAGTGAAAGCCACAGCAAAAATAAACGGAAGAACAGCCCTCTATCCACCGTCACCCCCAAATGACCAGCAAACAACCAACCAAGCAGACACAATTCAAGTCCTGAAGCAATTTTTGAATCAAAATGGAGGAATGGAAAACATCTGGCAAGCGCCGCCTGTCATTTCAAAGGTTTGTGGTGTTTCCTCCATAAAGACTGTCCTATCCAGGTGTGTTCCAAAGTCCCTGCTCCCTTCACATCTTCAGAGCGAGCACCCAGGCACTGCAAGATCATTACAGCCCAGTCCTCTGAACCTTATGGAAAAAGTTGTCTCAGTATCCACTTGTAGCCAAAAGTTTCAGAGATTCAGTTCAAGGAGTCACAGAAATATTGAAAAGGGAAAAAAGAAAAAGAAAAACTTAGATGAGGTCAGAAGAAAGAGAGCAGTGGAAAGGAGAGAGAATTCTCCGAGTTTCCCCAC